CGCATGCCTCCCCACCACCCATTTCGGCACACCCCTCACACGTTTCGTGGCCCCATAGGGAGCTCCACCGAAGGCCCCACTGGCAGGGTTCGCATGCCTCCCCACCACCAATTTCGGCACACCCCTCACACGTTTCGTGGCCCCATAGGGAGCTCCACCGAAGGCCCCACTGGCAGGGTTCGCATGCCCCCCACCCCCCCCCCCCCCCCCCCCCCCCCCACCACTTTGGCACACCCCTCACACGCTTCGTGGCCTCATAGGGAGCTTCACCGAAGGCCCCAGTGGCAGGGTTCGCATGCCGCCCCCATCTCACTTTGGCACACCCCTCACACGCTTCGTGGCACCATAGGGAGCTCCACCGACGGCCCCAGTGGCAGGGTTCGCATGCCGCCCCCACCCCACTTTGGCACACCCCTCACGCATTTCGTGGCCCCATAGGGTGCTCTACCGAAGGCCCCCACGGCAGGGTTCGCATGCCGCCCCCACCCACTTTTGCACACCCCTCACACGTTCCGTGGCCCCATTGGGAGTTCCACCGACGGCCCCAGTGGCAGGGTTCGCATGCGTCCGCGCCAACCATGTCGACACACCCTTGACACGTTTCGTGGCCCCATAATGAGCTCCACCGAAGGCCCCAGTGGCAGAGTTGGCATGCCGCCCCTCGCCCATTTCGGCCCACCCCTCACACGTTTCGTGGCCCCATAGGGAGCTCCACCGAAGGGGCCCCAGTGGTTGCGTTCGCATGCGTCCCCACCACCCATTTCGGCGCACCCCTCATACGTTTCGTGGCCCCTTAGGGAGCTCCACCGAAGGCCCCAGTGGCTCCCCACCACCCATTTCGGCACACCCCTCACACGTTTCGTGGCCCCATAGGGAGCTCCACCGAAGGCCCCAGTGGCTGCGTTCGCATGCCTCCCCACCACCCATTTCGGCACACCCCTCACACGTTTCGTGGCCCCATAAGGGGGCTCCACCGAAGGCCCCGGTGGCAGGGTCCGCATGCCTCCCCACCACCCATTTCGGCACACCCTTCACACGTTTCGTGGCCCCATAGGGAGCTCCACCGAAGGCCCCAGTGGCGCGGTGCCTATGAGAAGAGGGGCCTAGTTTGCGTGCCCCCTCCTTCGTCTCATATCCGCGCGGTACTCGCAGCTGAATATGGTTGGGTCCTTCGCCAGGCTTATATATATATATAAGTTACTGCCTGCCATCAATCATGAGACGTCGGGGATTGTTGTTCAGTTTTGTGCGGGGAAGTGGAGGTGCAGAATGACAAGTTGCCGCTGTCTTCTGCGCCGCCTCCTTCAGCCACCTCTCTCTCTGTCCGCCCGCTCTCTGCTGGCATGCGCCACCGGGGGGCCTGCGGCATGATGACTCAGGGCCATGCTGTTGCTGCCTTCTTTGCCACGATTACGATCTCGGCGCTTCTCTCTCCGTTCTGTCTCCAGCTGCCGCCCTAGTTCGAGAGGTTTCGGGCGCCGTACCTTGCGCGGCGAACCGCTCTCGGGGCGGGCAGACGCGCGCGCCTGCCCGCGCCCGCGCATCGGGCTCGCCAGGCCATCTCAACCTCCCCACTTCCATGCCTAGCTTCCAGCTTACTATGGTCGGGACCGGGGGTGGGACTGGTACGTTGGCGGGGAAGGGGTTTCAACTGTGGCGTTGTTGCAGGCGCTGGCCGCAGGTCGAGCGCGCGAAAATCGCGCACTCCCGCTGGCCCCTGCCTCGCCCCCGCCCCCCACTCAGCTGCCTTTTCGTCCGCCTCTCTTGCCTATTCGCGCTTGCCTCTCTTGCCCAGGTCGAGAGGTTTCGGGCGCCGTGCCGGGCGCGGCGAACCTCCTTCGGGGCGGTCAGACACGCGCGCAGGCCCTGCCCGCGCATCGGACAAGCCAGGCAGTTTCACCTTCCCCACTTCCCTTGGGTATAGGTTTTTGGGTGGGGACGTAGTTCGCACTGCGGCGATGAGGTAGGCACGGGGCACAGGTCGAGAGTGCGAAAATCGTGCACTCCCGCTGGCCCCTGCCTCGTACACGCCCACTTAGCTGCCCTTTTTGGAATTTTTGCAGGCCATCTCACCTGCTCCCCTCTGTGATCTGGCTCCTCTTGCCTTTTTCCCTGCTCCTGTTGCGTTGCAGTGCGCTTTGAGCGCTTTCCGACGATATGGGGGTGGTACGGTATAGGTGACGGGGGCGGGAAGTTTCACCAAACCTTGGCGCCCGTGCTGCTAGATGCCGCGTGTTTCTGCCAGCAGCTAGTGAGTGCCGCACCAAGCTGACCGTCTCCTCGGCGAATCAGAGCGCAATCCAAAAATCCCCACCTCCGTGGAAGTGCGCACCCTGAGGTCATCCGGGCGCTGCATTTTTCCACGACGGGCGTCTTCGCGGGGCCTCGGGGCGCAGGGCCCGCACGGGTCGATCTGGCCCGACAAATGTGTCAAAAAGATGAGGTCCAGCGCTATGGTCGTGATTCCCCCATTTCCGATTTCGGCTCACGACCCTGACTGTTTCTGCTGGCGTCTTATGTGGGTTCCGATTCCGGCTCGTATGCTCTTTCCATTTTGTTGGTCTCTTCCTATTTCTCCGGCTCCGACTCCGTTGGGACACGCGCTTTCGTCCAGCAAATACCGTGACCGCGCCCCGGCGCACCCGCGCTGCCCCCAGGGGGCCCCGCTGGCCGACCGGCCGGCAGACTCGGTTCGATTGTCTTTTTTCTTTTTTTTTTTTTGTTTTTTTTTTGTTTGCTCTCTGTTTTTTTTTTCTTATTTGTTTTGTTTAGTTTTGTAGATTTTTTTTCTCTTTTGTTACCCTTTTTTTTGTTCTACCTTTGTTTTTTATTTTTTTTTCTTTTTCTTGGTTTTTTATTGTTTCTTTTTTATATTCTTTACGTTTTTTTGTGGTTTCTTGTTGTTGCTCTTTGTTCTTTTTTTTGGTTCTTTTACTTTTGCTTTTATTTTACTTTTTGTGTCTTTTTTTGTCTTATGAATTGATTTTTATTCTTTGGTACGTTTTGTTTGTCCTCTTTTTTTTTTTTTCATTTTTTTTTTTGTTTTTCATTTTGTTTTATCCCTTTTTTCTGCCTTTTTGTTTTTTTATTTTTCGGATAGTTTTTTGTCAGTCGTGATTCCCCACCCGGCAAGTTGGGGTCGTTAGATTTCAGGAACAGGTCTCCCGACCCGACCACCCTTGCATACCGCGGCCGCCAGATCTCCAGGACTCCCGAGTGTCCCTCAGCGCCCCGCCTCGCGCCTCTCCGCATCCCGCGGCCGCCAGATCCCCAGTTCCCCTGAATGTCGCCGAGAGTCCCGTTTCGCGCCATTTTGCAGACCGCGGCCGCCAGATCCCCAGGTCCCCCCGGCCCCCGAGTGTCCCCGTGCCCCGCCTCGCACCGACAAATCATGACATGACACAGGGGTACTTCAAAATAGCAAGACATAGTACAGAACAGCACGATGTTCTATGATATGTGACATAACGCATAACACCAAACCTTTTTACATAACATATCAGAGCATGCCATGCGCACTATCATGACATATCATTTCGTAACACCACACACCACGACGGATCAGCGCATGCCATAGCACATTCTCACATCACAAAACATCACATGGCACGGAACGGCAAACAGACCATACGAAGTCATTGCATACTTGGACACACCACAACATACCATGTGACGGCCTCACATATCCTGGCATACTATATAGCACTACACAGCATCACAACGCATGTTATGACACATCGGAACAGGTTTATCATAACACACCATAGCATAAGGCAGTGCATAACCGAGCAGAACATAACATACCATGGCAGAGCACAGCACACCATACACACATCCTCACGGACAAACACTCCCGAAATGTTAGGGGTCATGTTGTTGCATATCATCGAGTGGCCCAGGAACGGTACCACATGCTGTGTTGCTCCGCGATCGGGGCCGCCTGTCCCAGGGGGGCTTGTTGGAAGTTTGTAAACCACCGGTGGGCGGTGGGGGGGATTGAAGTTGTCAGCCGCCATGGGACGGGCGCCCAGGATTTCGCAGAATGATCATGAGGATGATGGGGATCAGGATGAGGATGATGGAATGAGCCTGAGGATGACGATGATAATGAGGATGATGATATAATGCTACTGATGGTGATGCGGATGATATTGCTGATGATGATGATGATGAGGAGGAGGAGGAGGAGGAGGAGGAGGAGGAGGAGGAGGATGGGGAACCAGTTTGTGTTATGCCTCTGTTCGCCCGCGAAATGGTATTCCACGACAAAAAGAATTGCCGGGGGTCGTGTTCACGCGGCGGCGCCCGGGATGGGAATTTGAAGAACCAGCCCGGCGCCGGGGCACTATTTTTTGAATCTTTCCCTCTTCCGTCCTCCTCGGGCGCGCGCCTGGACGGCTGACGGGACAGACGGAGCCGAAGCGAAGCGGAAGCCGACGATTCGAAAATTGTTTAACTAGTCGTTCCCCCCACATTATTTTCTCAACCGTCTGTGTAAATTGAATGATAGCAGGACGGCGATCAGGACAGCTCCAGCGCCCATCCCGTAGATGGACAACAAAAATGAAGCCCTTGACTCCACATCCCTCCCCTCCCCCGCATTGAAAGTTGTTCCCAGGCATTCGGCGGCACAGCCGTGAGAAGAAACAGAAAGTGAAATCCCCAGGGCCTCCGCGAGGCCCGACCCAACTTTGAATCTGGGAGGGGAGGTGGGGGCGAACACGGGGTCGAATCTGAAGGGGTTCTACGTTTTTGTCCCCTTCCCGTCCCTCGAGTTTTGCTGTTTCAACCTACTTTAGCCTTGACCACTAGAAAGATTTTCGAGCACCAGAAGAAAGTACCGAAACTCCATGGTTTTCACGTGTCGGGCCCTGGGAGACACTCGTCCGACACTGTTTCGACACTGTCTCGACACTCTTTCGACACTTTTCCAGGTGCTCGGAATTATTTCTGGGATGTGGTCCTTAAGTACGACGGGAGCAACATAATTAGCCCTCGAGGGGAAGTGCCCGCTGGAGCACGCCGTCGCTTTGGCGCTGCGGGACCTCGGCGGCGGCTCCCGGCATCCGCGGCCGATCCTGCTGCTGGACCTGGGACGGGCCAGCCGGGGCAATCCAGGCTTCGAAACCAGGCTGGCGTAGAGTCGGGGGGGGCGTAAGACTCGAGTGCGCTGGAACTCGCTTTCGCCTACGCTACTTGACCAGGCCGCCCTGGATTTTGACGGTCTACTTTTCGTGGGATGTCTGCAGCGGGAGCTCGCGTCAAATTTCACACTAGGTCTCGTCATTTTCATAACGGCCCCGTCGGTGCAACCCGAGTCCCCCGGACGCGAGTCTTGAAGTCGGGGCCCAGACATCGAACGTTGTGAAAAAACAGGACGGAGCTGTCCTGGGGGGGCCTCTGGGGGCCATCGCCGTGCCCCCCGTCAAACAATCACACTCACGATGAAAATCTGGCCCTGGGGAAAGGGGTCAGGGATTTTACCTGAGACCAGGTATTGAAAAAAGCAAGACATCGAATGTCTGGGAGTGCGCCGCACCGCCCATTGCGTCGGCGATGCGGCGCGATCTGGAGTCAGGTTTTTTCCGTCCCGACGTCACCCGTGCATCGGCGATACATCGGCGATTCGGTGCGATCCTCTGGCCCCGTCTTCTCAAGCCCCATTGGGGAGGCTTCCAAGCAAGCACAGCAGAAGGAGGATGAGAAGGTAATCATGGGCCGATGATCCTCAGGACGGGTGTTAGCCCGATGTTCCCGAAACAGCTTGTCCGTAAGAGTCCCGCGCAATTTCTTCAAGAAACCACGAGGACTGCCGGCTCTGGAATCGGTCGGGCTCATTTGTCTTCCGTGGTCTGTGATGGCTTCCTGTGATCTCCCGTGCTAGTATCGAGCATCAGTATTCGCATTGGCGTCCGCATTTGTATGTGCATTCGTTTTAGATGTAGGCTTGCAGTAGTAATAGCATTGGCTTCTGTATCGTTATCCCGATTACTGCTGTAGGATTCGAATCTGAATTCGAATGTGTATGACGCTGCTTGCTTGTATAAGTGGAACTATACGCAGAAATACCAGAATTTGTAAACATATTCGCACAAGTACCCGTGCGTCGTATGGTAGTAACCTTCAGACTCGTGACGCAGCATTCATCCCTTACGTTCCATCCTCAGCATTACTAGAGCTAGTAGTGGTAGCAGTAACAGTAGCAGGAATAGTAGTAGTAGTAGTAGTAGTAGTAGTAGTAGTACTAGTCTTAGTTGTTGTTGGTGTAGTAGCCGTAGTAGTAGTAGTAGTAGTAGTAGTAGTAGTAGTAGTAGTAGTACTACTACTACTACTAGTCTTAGTTGTTGTTGGTGTAGTAGCCGTAGTAGTAGTAATAGTAGTAGTAGTAGCAGTAGTAGTAGTAGTACTAGTAGTAGTAGTAGTAGTAGTCGTAGTAGCAGTAGTAGTAGTAGTCGCCGTAGTAGTAGTAGTAGTAGTAGTAGTAGTCGTCGTACAAGTACTCGTAGTAGTAGTCGTAGCAGTCGTCGAGTTGAAGTAGTAGTAGTAGTAGTAGTCGTCGTCGTCGTCGTCGTAGTGGTGGTAGTAGTAGTAGTAGTAGTAGTCGTACTAGTAGCAGTAGTAGTAGCGGCACTAGTAGTAGTAGCGGCACTAGTAGTAGTAGTAGTAGTAGTAGTAGTAGTTGTTGTAGTAGTAGTAGTAGTAGTGGTAGTAGTGGTAGTAGTGGTAGTAGTAGGAGTAGTGGTAGTCGTAGTAGTCGTAGTAGTCGTAGTCGTAGTAGTAGTAGTAGTAGTAGTAGTAGTAGTCGTAGTCGTAGTCGTAGTCGTCGTCGTAGTCGTAGTAGTCGCAGTGGTAGTAGTTGTAGTCGCAGGAGAAGTAGTAGTAGTATTCGTCGTAGTAGTCGTAGTAGTCGTAGTAGTAGTAGTAGTTGTAGTCGTAGTCGAAGTCGTAGTCGTAGTCGTAGTCGCCGTAGCAGTAGTAGTAGTAGTAGTAGTAGTCGTAGTAGTAGTAGTAGTAGTAGTAGATGGAGTGGTAGTAGGAGTAGTAGTAGTAAGTCGTAAGTCGCAAGTCGTAAGTAGTAAATATTAAGTAGTAGTAGTAGTAGTAGTAGTAGTAGTAGTAGTCGTAGTCGTAGTCGTAGTAGTAGTAGTATTAGTAGTAGTAGTAGTAGTAGTAGTAGTAGTAGTAGTGGTAGTGGTAGTGGTAGTGGTGGTAGTAGTAGTATTAGTAGTAGTAGTAGTGGTGGTAGTATTTGTAGTAGTAGTAGTAGTAGTAGGAGTAGTAGTAGAGGTAAATCGTAGTTGTAGTAATAATCGGAGTAGTAGTAGCAGCAGTAGTAATAGCAGTAGTCGCAGTAGCAGCAGTAGTAGTAGTAGTAGTAGTAATCGTTCTAGTAGTAGTCGTCGTAGTGCTAGTAGTAGCAGCGCAGTTGTATGAGTAGTAGTAGTAGTAGTACTACTACTACTACTACTACTACTACTAGTCGTCATGGCAGTTGTAGTAGTAGTAGTAGTAGTAGTAGTAGTAGTAGTAGTAGTCGTCGTCGTCGGAGCAGTCGCTGTTGCCGACGTGGTCATCTATGTGGTGCAAAATACGTGGCGCCGACTTGCTCATCGAGGTGGTGTGGGCAATTTGGCGCATGCTAGATTGTGTGCTATAACATTGGCTCCCATCTATGTGCTGTGAGGTGTGTGGTGCATTTGATGTACTGCAATTCATGTGGGGTGATCTATGTGGTGAACGATGTAAGCTATGTAAGCATATTGCAATCTAGCATGAGTGGTGCAAGCTATGCAGTGGCATGCATGTGGTGTAAGCTATGTGCTGCAACCTGCGTGGTGTGAACTATGATATGTGACTTAGGTGGTGTAAGCTCTGGGTTGCAACACACGTGGCGCAATCTATGTGGCATGAGCTATGTTGTGCAATCTATGTGGTGCAAACCATGCTGTTTAGAGATCCCTCCGGCGATCGGGCGGCGACGAGTCGCGACGAGGCGGCGACGGGGCGACAACAAGCCGGTCGGGGCGGCACACAAGCCAGCGATGAGGTGGCGACGGTCGGCGACGAGCGTGGGGAATATGTTTCACGGGCTGTCGAAACGATGGGTCGCTAGATTTCCCTGAATTCCTGGAACGTGCCCTGAGCCAGCCGCATCATGCATGATTTGATTCTCTCGGGAAACATGAGACTCGAGTAAGCCAGAACTCGGGTTTGCCGACGTTTTTTGACGAACGCGTCTTGGATTTTGACGGTCCAGTTTTCGTTGGATGTTTGCAGTGGGAGTTCGCGTCAAATTTCAGATTGGGTCCCGTCATTGTCACGATTGCCCCGTCAGGCCAACCCGAGTGCCCCGTACCCGAGTCTCACGTGTCCCCGACTGACTGATCGGCGTGTTCCACAGTAGCGGTTCTCTTCTGAGGCCAGCAGGGCCGCCAGGGCTCTGCCTTGCACTGGGCCCTGCCCCCAGTGCTCAAATCCTGCGCGGCAGCGGAGTGTTGAGCTCAAAAAAACAGGAGTCCCCCTAGAAATGGCTTCCGCGCTTGGACCGCCCCCCCCTCCCCATGCGGCCCCCGACGCCGTGCGCCAAAGGTTATTTTTTTGCCTGGGATCACTCCTGCGTGCAGCTGACGTGCAGGCGCGCCCTCTCTGCTCGAGCGGCTCGGGTGCACAGGAAGGGGGCCTCTCGGGTCCGGAGCGCCCCCTGTCCGGGGGGGTCGTCTTGGTGTTGCTTCCGAGCCGAGTGGAAGCACTGATGATCTGTGGACTGCCCTCGCCGAGGCGGGGATCTACGCAGGGGGATCGATCTTCGGGGACCAGCGCAGGCGGTGTTTTTCTGGATACATTCGGGACCTGGGGGGGCAAGTATATCCACATCAACCAGCTGCAGAGTTCCCCTAAGATTGACCCCCCGTGCGGTGGTTACCGATAAACCGCTCCTGGTACCCGGGAGGAGGAGCAGCAGGAGGAGGAGAGAGAGATAGAGCAGGGGGGGGATTGGGATAGTGTGAGGGAGGGAGGAAGGGAGGATGTAGAGGAAACGAGGAAGGCAAAGGAGGAGGATGAGCTGGAGGAGTAGGAGGAGGAGGAGGAAGAGGAGGAGGAGGAGGAGGAGGCGGACGAGGAGGACGAGGAAGAGGAGGAAGAGGAGGAGGAGGAGGGGGAGGAGCAGGAAACGGAGAGTGGAGGAGTTAGTGAGGAGCAGGAGAGGGTCGGGAGAGAGGGAGAGAGGGACAGACGGAGAGAGGGAGAGAGGGTGGATGAGGAGGAGGAGGAGGAGGAATCCCCCTCCCTTTCCTGAGCGTCGGAGCCTGCGCGGGCAGGCCCATCCACGCCCACCCGCCCGCCGGGACCACAGGTGAGCAGGGCCCTCGCGGCGTGGCGCTCGGAACTGCCGCGGCTGGTGCCGCAGTTCCCCGTGGGCCGCCGCCTCGGCGCCGCCGCCTTCTGCCGGCCGCCTGTCGTCGGATCCCCCTCGTGGACTCTTTATTCCGCGCTCGGGCCCCATCCCTCGAAGCGACGTTGCCGAGTGTCCGCTTGATCCCTAGTGCCGTCAATCGGGGGACAGAGAGCGGGAGAGAGAGATAGAGAGAGCGCGAGAGGGAGAGATAGAGAGAGAGAGAGAGAAACAGAGAGAGAGAGAGAGAAACAGAGAGAGAGAGAGGGATAGACAGAGAGAGAGAGAGGGATAGAGAGAGAGGGATAGAGAGAGAGAGGGAGAGAGAGAAAGTGGAGGGGAGGAGGAGGAGGAGGATGAGGATGAAGAGGAGGAGGAGGAAGAGGAGGAGGAGGAGGAGGAGGATGAGGAGGAAGGGGGGGAAGGAGAGTGGTAGGGGTTAGAGAAGGACGATGATGAGGATCAGCAGCAGCAGCGTGAGGATGAGGATGAGGATGAGGAGGAGGAGGAGGAGGAGGAGGGAGGTGCCGGTCATGGATGATGAGGAGGAACAAGTAGGAGGAGGACCACTGGGTGAGTTGTGATCGGCTTTGTGATCAGCCATGTGGTGAGGCCAGGATGCTGACCGGAAGACGGTCCAGCTGCTGCACGCGGAGCGGTGCTGCTTCACTTGCACGACCCTCCCCGAGATTCGGCTGGCGCTGTCATTGGGGATCTCGCCGAAGGACATATTCTTTGCCCAGCCGCGCAAGCCGCGCCCCCACCTGAGCTTCGCGCGGGAGCATGGCGTGGAGCTCATGACTTTCGAGGATCGGGGGCCTCGAAGCGTCAGGCGAGCTCAAGTGGGGTGTAAATCAGGCAGTCGGTGCGGCCACCTCCAACTGCAGCGCGGTTGTCCCAAGTCGACGCCCCAGACTCCACGAGTCCGATCGATCACGATCTCCCCGTCCTCCTCCCTTCTCTTCCTGCGCCCTCCTCCTCGCTCAGCAGCGCCGCTGTGGCATCTAAGCGGCGCCAGAACTCCACGCGTGTAATCCGAACATGTGTGTCCTTCTGCTGCTCGCCCCATCCATCCTGCCTGCTCCTGCTGCATGAACCCGCAGCCCCAGCACGCACCCAACTTAGAGGTTCGTGGCCACCGGGCTTAGGCGTGTCGGCCGACGTCCCCAGGCGCACGGCAAACAGGATGGTTTGACACAGCACCCAGGATCAGGGCGACACTCCATTTGCGTAACGGCGACAGGGCGCACCCCAACAAGAAGCGACAAGGAGGGGAGAAGGGAGGGGAGGGGAGAGCAGGGAGGAGCCGGAAGGCGGAGGAGACGGGTGCCCCTCCTCCTCGTGTCCTTTGAGCGGGACTCTCTGGAGCCTCGGACAGCCCCTCAGAAACCCTTTGAGCCACGTCGGGCCCCGTAAACTCCCACACGCTCCCCTACGTACGCCCCCTCCCGCCTCCTCCTCCTCCTCCTCCTTCTCCTCCTCCTCCTCCTCCTCCTCGTCCTCCTCCTCCTCCTCCTCCTCATCCTTGTCCTCCTCCTCCTCCTCCTCCTCCTGCTCTCCGCGTTCGGCATCGTCGGAGACAACAGTGGCCACCTGTACTTCACCTTCTGGGCCATGTTCTCCGAGTCAGACTCCTTCTTCGGCGTCGTCTCCTTCATCTTCTCCCCCGTCTGCAGCTTCCCCCAGTACTGCGTCGACGGAAGGATCGCAGAGGGGGCAGCCCACGTCAGCACCGTCGCACGCCGGTGGGGGCCAGCGTGGCGACTCCACCCTGCGGGTTGGTTCTACGAGGGCGTCCCGTCCTGGCGACTCGAGCTGGCTGAAGATCTTCAGGGACATGACGGAGCTCGCATCGGAGGCGCCAACCCATTGGCACGCCTCGACTGCCTGTGAGTCCAAAATCGATCGTCTCTTTGTCGCATCCCCACCATGGCTTCTGTGTCAAACTGCTCAGCTAGTATCGGTCCGTGATGAACCTCATGAGTTGGCCCACCGAGGTATTTCGGACCACTCGCCTCTGGAGATCGTCTGGCGCCCACGGGATCACACTAGAACTAAACGCCAGAGGCCCCTCCCGCGTTGGGTGTACAAAGACAAGATTTATGCTCAGTTGGTCTCCCATATGGAATCCCAGGTGGGCATTGAAGATCTTGCTTTCGACCCGCCGCGAATGCTCGCTGCTGCCACCGCTGTTCGACAAGCTGCTGGGCTTCTTGCACGCAATGCCATCTGCCGTGCTGCGCCATCCTCTCTGACCTCTCGGGCTATGATTTCTCGTTCGGTTGCACGATGTGTCTGGCGTGGTGACGCCCGTCTTGCACGTGTTCTTCTCTTCCAGCACCCCTGGACGCAGAGGCTCATACGTGTAGATGGTGAGGATGTCTCTTTCATCGATCCTGGTGGCTTCCATGATCTTCATAGTTTGTGGCAGCGGCAAGAAGCTGAATCTCGTCGGAAAGCTCTTGAGTCAGAGATCAACCAGTCGTCATCTAACACGGTCAGGGTTCGTCTGGCGGGGCGTCGTCGTGCTATCATTCGATCTGCCCAGTTATGGAACCCACTTTCTCGGCGTAAGTATTTAGCATCGGTCACGGCCACTGAGATGATCTCGGTTTCGGAGATGCTGGCGGGTGGCTCATTGGCGTCGGAACCTGCACCTCCTTCCCAGTCCCCGATGGTGGACGCACTGGCCTCATATTGGGGCCCTGTTTTCTCCAAGACCCAATCCGTCCCATCCATCGCCAAGAAATACATAGACCGATTCAGCAGCTCAGAGGACTTCTCAGAGGTACGCCCACCCGTCCTTCGCGATGTAGAACGTGCACTTAAGCAGTCGAACTGGTCCGCTCCTGGCCCCGACGGGCTTCACTATGCGACCTGGAGATGTGGTTCGGGGTCTAGGGTCCTTCTCGAAGTTCTTCGCTGGATTGCTCTTGGGAATTTCATGCCTTCCAATTTCACAGCGTTGCTGGCCGTCTTCCTCCCCAAGGACCCAAAGGCTCCCTCCCATGATCCCGACGATGGTGGCGTTGTACGGGCCCCTGGTGATACCCGCCCGCTGGGACTCAAGAACTCTTCGAATAAAGTGGTGTGCAGTGTATTGAACCAGACTATGAGCTGGATCACGCAGAAGATCGGGGCCCCATCACAACGGGGCTTTATTCGGAGGCGCAACTTTCTGGATAATATCGTCGGTTTGGACCTCTACGCTCGTTCGGCTAGTATTATGTCTGCTGTATCCTCCCAAGCTCCGTCATTGATTGCGTTCGACTTCGCCCAGGCCTTCCCATCGGTATCCCAGGAGTGGCTATTCCAATGTCTCGCCCGACTTCGGATTCCTGCCCCTCTGGTTCGCGCTCTCCGCTCCCTTTGCCACTGCACTCCATGCTACTTCGTTGGCGACTCACCGATGTACCTATACCACATGAACTCAGGGGTGCTTCAGGGCTGTCCGTTGAGTGGTTCACTTTATGTCATCGCGAGCAACCCGTTTCTCCTGGACTTAGAACATTGTTTGGTCGCACGTGGGCGTCTCCTGGGTGTCGTTCGTGCCTGTGCAGACGATCTTGGGGCAGTCCTCTTCCATAACAGGGCGTATCCACGTTTGGCTCGAGTATTTCGACATGCTTCGAGGTTTGCTCAGCTACGACTTAAGCCTGCAAAATGCAATGTGATACCTCTTCGTGACCCTTCTATGCCCGAACATGGAACCCTACTTCGACGCCAACTTGTGGGGGCCGACCCCGCCTGGGCAGACTTCGCGATTGTTCCTGCGTGCACTTATCTTGGCTTTCAGATAGGGCCTGGAGCCACAGATGATAGTCAATGGTCGACTCCTGTTCTCAAGCATGCTACTCGCACTACCGCAATTTCGTCACAGGGCGCAGCTCTCTCCACGGCTGCTGCGCTATATCGTCAAAGAGCCGCTCCCACGCTGTCGTACGTTGCCCAGCTGGTTCCTCTTCCTTGGCGGGTTGGGCAACAGCAGCGCTTTCTGCTTGCCCGCATCCTGCGCGCTCCCGCTAGTATGCTTCGGACTGGTGACTGCTTCGCGCTGAGCACGGTGAATGGCCCGAGGTTCAGCTCGATCTTCTGCATCGCTGCCGCTGCGCGTCTTCGCGCGGCTCTGGTCACATGTTCGACATGGCGCTCGCAGCTGCAACGACATCGTGACCTTCTTTGGGAATATGGCACGTTCTCCCAAGCTACCAGTGACATCCTGGCTCCGAACTTCTGGTTGGCCCCACCTTTTGCCTGCCGTTTGGAAGAGGCAGCGAAGGGCTTTCCATCGTCCCAACTGCTGAAAGCGGGAGGACAAATGGCATTAAGTCTATGGCGAGGCGGCGACTCTTCCGCCCCCGCAGAGGTGATCGAGTTCTTTCGCGCTGGACCCACTCCCTGTCAGCTCCCATGGAGCCTTGCCCGTCGTGTTGCGGAGCCAGCGGAAGGTCAAGGTGTGTCACTATCCCGAGCACCCAAGTGGCAGGCGGCTTTCACCGACATCTTCCAGCGGGCGGTCTTCCCCGACAGACTCCAGGAGCTACTCGCCGCCCGTGTGCAGAAGCACTTTGATATTCGTGACGTGTGCTGGCCCACGGTCATCAGTCAGCTGCAGCTTTTGCCCGCATCTTGGGCGTTCATATGTGTGCGGTCGCACCTCGGGGGATGGATCACTCACCGACGTATGCAGCGAGAGGCGTGGTGTATCTATGGTTGTGGCGGTCCCGATACTATGCGACATTATCTGGTGGAGTGCTATCGGTGTGCGCACTTCGGCGCCCTCATTCTTCGTGAAGATCTCCCTGGCGAGATACGGCATCGACTTGGGCTCTTGGGGCCGACTCCGGCCTCTCTCATTGCCTGCTACCACCATTATCGGCTGATGGCGGCACGGCACAGTTCCCCACCGACCTACGCACGGGCGCTGGAGCTGGTCCCTGCTGCGCAGATCGCGCTGAGGCTCCCTCTTCGTGGACGACAGCAGCTGGCACTTCTGCGTCGGCCCACCCTGCGTGAGGCCATCGAAGCGGCCCGCCGAGCCAACGAGGAGGGCGACCCCAGGAGTGAGGCTCGGGGCTCTGAGGTAATAGGTCTCCCATTGCTTGCGTCGCCTCAGCCATCTCTCTCCTCGATCCCTCCTGTTCCCCCCTCAGTGCTCAGTCCTTGTCGCGATGATGAGCTCATCGAATTTCAGTTCGTTGATTATGATATGCCCCGCGATCCCAGTGGGATCAGGGTGATCACTGCCGAAGAGCAGGCCATGTTTGCAGGCGGGCCTCAAACTCCTGCATCGCCGGTGTCGGCTCCCTCTCCCCCTCGTTCCCCTCGCTCCGATGATGCCTCGTCCCCGCCCCACCTCACCCTGTTTCGCTTCGTGGATTATGATATGCCCCGCAACTGTGCTGGGATCAGGGTGCTGTCTGCTGCGGAGCAGGCCTCCTTTTCAGGCCCCCTGGCAGCAAGCAGGCGACTACACCATTGTGAAGGCCCCTGCCGCGTGCTCTCTCAGGGAGAGCGGCACGGAGGGCATGCAGATGAGTAGAGTGACGACGACCTCCCCCAGGTACGCTCCGCCTCCTCCTCCTCCTCGACCTCCTCCTCCTCGTCCTCCTCCTCCTCCTCCTCCTCCTCCTCCTCCCCCTCCTCCCCCCCCCCTCTCTCTCCCTCTCTCCGCCTGTCCCTCTCTCCCTCTCTCCCGTCCCTCTCCCCCTCCTCCGTCTCCTCCTCTCCGGGCCCTCCAGCACCTCCGCCCGCTCTCGCCCCACCTCCGCTGGGCGCCCGAGAGGACGAGGCGGAGCTCCAGAAGGCTGGCGGGGCCGTGCCCCCG